CTCTCTCTCTCTCTCTCTCTCTCTCTCTCTCTCTCTCTCTCTCTCTCTCTCTCTCTCTCTCTCTCTCTCGCGCGCGCGCGCGCGCGCGCGCGCGACACACACACACACACACACACACACACAGAGAGAGAGAGAGAGAGAGAGAGAAAGAAGAGAGAGAGAGAAAGAGAAAAGAGAAACCGAATATATAATCGCTATACTTTATACATAAACTAGATGGATGTGAAATAATCGTAAAGCGTAAATATATTACAAAATGTTTTTTTATTCAACGATTAATAATCTCAATTCATCAAAATACATGATATATTGTATATTAAAACTAAAATCTGATAAAGATTGTTATAACTAAGAACGGCACATTTATCACAATTAAACATAATGCGTAATAAACGTTCTATTCTTATATCATTCTTGATCTTTTCTTTTCTATAGACAAAAAATATCTAATTGTCATCTTGAGTCTAACATTTCTCAAAATTCGGATCAACTTAATCATATCCAAGATATAGTAAGAAATGTAAAATTACATCAAGATCTCCTCAAGCTTAAAAGTGTCCGCATTCTAATTAAATAAATATAATTCATTATATCATTCGGATAATAATTAAAATTGCGACACATGATTTATAATAATAATAATAATATAATAATAATGAAGATAATGGGAATCTTAAATGCATCATGATATCATGAGAATGATGATATCATGATGCATTTAAAATTCTCTTTTTGCTCGGTGGTGGCATAAGGTCTGTCTCTTCCCGTTCAAATCTGTATTTGTCGATATAATCCAGAAGTCGTTCCTTCGTGACCGGCTTAATAATACTTTTGCATACAGATTCGGCAGTTCCAATGGAATTAGGATATGTTTTGTCCACTCGCTGACGCATAAAAACCCATTGACCATTTTCGAATTTACATTCAATAATCGCATTGTCCAGATCTTTGATCTGTTTAGTTATCTTTATCGTGCCATACGGCGTTCTTAATCCGCCCACATAAAGATGCCCAATTTTTCGCGGTACAATACCCACGCCTGTTTCCGTGACAATTTTTAATTTGAAATCTACAGAATTTAATGACAGTGGTTTCCACTTTAATACCTCCGTGGATACTCCCGAACAGTATTTTTCCTTGGCAGGTTGAAAAATCAAACCATCCGGTTCGTGGGAAAGCTGCTTTGCAAATTTTTCGCCCAACAGATTTTTACTCTGCGTCACATCCCAGAAATATTTCAATCGTACCGAAAATGGTTCCCGTTCCTTAATTAATCGTCCCTCTTTCATGGCTTTCTGTCTACCGGCTATTATTTTGTGCTCGATTATGAAATAACGGTCTTGATGGAACGGTAATTTACTGACATCCTGTCCATCATACATGATGACATCATACACCAAATACCTAGGAATATCTTTGTCTTTATCCTTGTCGATCACCATCTCCTGCAAAATTTTAAAAAAATCTGTTAAATAATTTAAAAAGTTTAAATATTTTTTTTGTACTTTTATGAAATAACTATTAATAAAGCTGCAGCTTACACCATCCATCAGAGTATCTCTCAGACATCGGTTTTCTCGCACGTGTGGGAAAGTTAAGTTGTTCACTTCAAAGACGCTGTTATCCCGGTCTATAAAATACACCTCTCCATCTCCTTGTGCCAACATCATGTATCTTAACAAAAACAGTGAATTTTTCAGTTTTTTACTTAGATATTTTTAAATACTATTAAATATTTATTTTAATTTTAATAAATTTTAATAAAATAGTTTTATATTTATTTTAAATAGTATTTTAAAACACTTTTAAATACTATCTAACTAGTATTATTAAACTATTTTATTATCTCAAATAAATTTTTTAAATTTAGATTTTTTACTAACCTCGTACCATCTGCTTTCCAAGATACTCTATATGGTTTTGTGTGCAGTAATATTATATTGTCACAGTCCATAGACACAGGTTGAGAACCAGGGAATCCAGATCCCTCCCATCCACAGATTTCCTGGACTCGCCTTTGAATTCCTGATAACCTCTTTTTTTCTAGGATAGGAGAGACACCAGGTACACCAGCCATAAACACTGGATTTTTATTAAAAATTTCACGTCTCTTCTTCTTGCTCTTTTCCTCCCGACAATTGTCGTTTTCTGTGCTCGGTCCCTCATCTGCATCCTCGATGTTGGAATCTTCTAAGCACCATGTTGGTCTCGCAGGCGGAGGTGGTGCATCTTCTTCTTCGTCGTATCGCTTGTATAGTTCCTTTATGTAATCAGCTTTGTAAATTCCAGGAGGTCTTGCAATAGCAAACTCAGCTATACCAGCATCAACACTGGTACCATCTACTTCCACTAAGTAACTGATTATGAGAAATCCAGTCCTATTAAAGCCATGTGTGCAATGTACGCCGACAATCTCCAAGGGATTGTGAGCAATGAAATTTCTGCAGAGTTGCACAAAAGCACGAGTCTGCTCTTCAGATGGAGTTTCGCCATGGCCACGACACTGCAGTTTCACATATTTACAGTCGTATTCTTCTATGGTGTTTTTATCATAAAACCTTGATGTGTTGGTCAAGTCTATCCACAAACCCATCTTCAGTTTCTGACTTTTCAGATACGCAAAGAACATATCTACATTGAAGCGACATTCTTCAGGCACCTGACTATCATAGGCTGCAGACAAGGGTGTTTTGAAGGCGAGAAACTTATCCTGGATCAGCCTCATTGCTTTTCGCGGACAATTAAGCCAACGGGGCGGAACAGGCCCCTTGTTCTCACTCGACATACTCGTTCAGTCTGTGTGTTAAAAATGGAATGTAATTCGATGTGTAAAAGTACAGCACAACTTGAAATTCTGCGACTGATAGTCCAGCATTGCATCCCGCTTAAGCCTTATGTCCGCGATGCTAGAAATCAATCCGAGATTTCTCAAGAAGGAAAAATTAATCAATCGCAGTGAATATATGGGTCAATTGATCAATTTTTCTTTTTTTTTTGTTCAAAATCTATTTCAATACCAGAACACAGAGCTTTAGTGCCGGCGAGAAACAGTGCTCGTTCCGGAATTATGCAACCTAACCTATCAACTTACGGTTCTTATTTGTCGCTCGTGATGGGACTTCCCGGTGCACCTTCTGCTATGACTACGAAATCGTATTCAATTCGTAACTGGAAGCACTGGTCAAATGTAAAATCGGCGAGTCGATTTAATCCATAACTGAATGAAATCACGAAAACATGCGGTGATAACGGCGTCAATCGTGACGTTCGCATTGCGTGTACATGCAAATACCAACGACCACAGCACGGTTCTGATATTCACTGACCGTATTGAAAATCTGTAGCGCAGGGTCTAATAGAAAATCTGTGACAATTCCCGAATTATTTTTTGTTCTTAATATGACATATTCCTGACTAGATTCTCTGACTACCTCGCCTCTTGCAAAATTTTCCGAAGCTTAATTTTTGAGTTTTAAAAACTCAATACCGTATTATGAATTAGGTACAGTTACGGTGCAGTTCATTAATCGAGTCCTTTTTGAGTGCAGAAAAGTGTAGATGTGCGCGCCATCTCTAGGCTTCTGCTGTATATATTTTCCGAGAAACGAGATATTAGACTTCATTAAAAATTGTGTTAAAAAGCTGCGACAAGATCATGAGACAGACGAACGGACGGACGGACAGATGTACAGATAAATAAATGTCGGGAAAAACAGGAATATGTGACACACGTAATCGAAAAAAAGTGCAACTGTATTTTTAAACTGCGTCTATGTTTATCCTATTATTGGATTTAAAAATATCGAGCGAACAATTCTTATCATCAATTCTCATCATTCTTTCTTAAATTAATCTTTTGCCTTCTCCATTAAAAATTTTAGAAATTTCAAACTTCTTATTAATTAATCAATCTTTTTATTCTGGAATGGAACATTAAAATTAGAAAAAAATTTAAAAGCCTACCTTTGATATTAGAAAAGAATAGAAACTGCCAAGAACAATCGTTTAATACTTTTCTAATATTAAGTTACAATATTTATAAGTTATAGGGAAAGATCTACTCTCTTATCTTCATGCAAACATTGTACAATATGCATAGAATAGGAATATCTAGTCCGTTTCGAAAAACCATAAAAGATAAACTCGATTAAAAATAAACTTCCTGCGGAATTTCGTCTACATGGGGAATAGGGATGAGAACTCTATTAACAACAATAAAGAAATATCGTTGTACTTTGATAATCGAGAAACCGAAGGAAGTTTGCGATGGTAAACATCTTATCTTGCGGCGTGTAAAACGGATTACTTGTGGCTTTTCGGATGATAAAGAGAGCTTTGGCCACTGTAATTTCGTGAAATTGAGATAAGCATAAAAATAAATATAACAAAATTTAAGATAAAAAGTGGAAATAAAGAAAATAAAAAATAAAAACCGAAAAAAGTTACTTTTTCGTATTAATTATAGACATACGACAGTAAGATTTTCAGATTATTAACATTTCAGGATATATGAGTGTTCTTATGGCTTTTGCAGAATGCAATAGTAACACAATGATCGAAGTCTCTTTATTTCGTGGCCCAAAAGCGTATCCCTTTTCTTTTGCAATTTGAATACACTTTTTAAGTTTTTATATTCGTTTCATTTTTAAAAATATTCGTTTCAGATATCTTTAGATTTTAACAATGTTTATGATTAATATTTCAAAGCTTTTTGGAATAATTTAATTTATTACATTCTATCATAAAAGTTTTTTTTGGTAACAAAATAATAAAGAATAAAAACTTGAGCTATTTATCTTTTTTTGTTTCTCCAAAAAAGACAACGAAGAAGGGAAAGCGTAAAATGTATAGATAAAAAGTCGAGTAAGCACTATTCAATATGGTTTTCTAGAAAATTCTTTTCTAAGATATATAAATTTTTTATTAAAAGTCTAGAAGTTACGTTGTAAAGATTAAAACGTATCGTTTTTTTTTGTATATATTGAAAAATTGTCGTACGTAAAATTTAGTAGTATTTTAACAATGTATGGAGGAAAATTTTGATCTCAATAATTATTCTTATAAGAAATGTATGATTATTATCTTACTGGTTGTTACAGAAAATTATTATTATTACCAATAAATTATTACAGAGACAGGACTGATGAGAGATTGAACACGGAAGATAATGCGCAAAGAAATCAAATATAAAATGTAACAATTAAGTTAAAAAAATATACAAAGTAATAGTACAAATTAAATTAATAGTAAAATATAGCACAAAAAACGAACGTTTCGTATTTAAGCTATCTTCAGCCATGATCCGTTTAAACATAAATTTGACTGGGATAATGTTGAAATATCGGATGTAGAGAAGTACAATAAATGCATAATCTCCGAAATGTTATACATGCGAGCACGTATACAACCGGATATCAAATTATTTTATCCGCGGACGTGTCGTTCGTCATCGATAATTCATTTTCGCCTTCGTCGCATTTTCGTAGCACAACGAAAACGTGCTGATGGATCCACCATTGATGTACCGCCCGAGATTAATTGCCCCAGAAACGTGCGACACAATTGTCGGATATGCGACAAATCGAAGAAATATGTAACGAGAAATCATGAAAAATTTCAGAATAACACGCGTTCGTGTTAACAACCGTTTGTTTAAAACTAAATTCCGCTTTTAAACATGGTTATCTTTATTCTTTACCAAAACAGCACATATTGGCAAATTATCAATCAATATATAATCAACATTGATTAATATCTGCCAACATTCTGCTAATTAATAGTACTGGTCAGATATTTTCCATCGGAGTTCAATGAAGGCATGTAGAAGGACACGTATGAAGAAGAGGGACGCGTCTTCCATCGCGTTACTCCCCCCCCCCTCTCTTCCCACGACAAAAGATCCAATGTCAAAGTCGGGCCCAGCGAGGAAGTTTGATGCGGTAGATCTACCTAAAGCATCTAAAGTTTGGGCAGAAACATACCGATGGTATTCTTTGAGATTTTCCAAGATTTCCCGTTAAGGTGACCTGCTTCAGATAGGCCGTTGATCGAATTTTAGTGGTGAACGGTATTCTTCGTATACTTGAGTTTTACACTCCTCTGGATGTATTGTTAGCGTGAAAGCAATTTCTCACGTTACAAAAGATATTTTCTATTAAGCCATTTTATGCCATATAAAACATATTTTCTTGGTATTTTTCGTATTATTTTTGAGATTCTCTTTACAACCGTTTCATTGGTTTCTAATTGTAAGTTTAATACGAGTGGTTTCTTCAAAGCATTCAAACTCTATTGTGCATAAAATTATTCGAATTTGTTACTTACTTACATTTATGTTGACATGCTCCCTGGAGATCAATATATTTACACAAATAGTTTTTGAAATTCATAGCTATTTGTGTGATCTTAAATGATTTTTTCACGTTCAAAAAACGTTCAGGTTCTTTGAATATGAATAAGAAAATTGAAGTTTCATTCATGGATCATTAACTATCACGACAGTTATGGGCCAAAAGCAATTTTTATTTTTCAGCCACCCACAATCTTTATCATCTTTAAAAAATTGACATCAATCTTTTGACATCATTAGAAAGACATCATAAGAAAGTCAAGCTCTCATTATAAACGCCAATTTCCAAAATCATTATGTAGATAATATCAATATTAATGACATTTATGTCCAAAATATGTACCATGTAAATAGCTATATATTTTAAAGAAAAATAAATCTAAATACCCTTTCACATATTTTACGGATATTTATATTCACAACCATAATATTTTCTCGTATTCTCTGGTCTCTTTTCAGTTAAAGTTGCACTGTCATTTATGAAGAAATTTGTCAAATCCATTGGACAACAAATTTATATAGAATAAAAGATCGGCTGCTCTTGATTTCTTTCACCTTGTTGTTTTGCTTACTAAAATAGTATTTAATAAGATTTTAAAAGACTATGATTCTTTTCTTTTTTTTCAGAAATACTTCCTCAAAGCGTAACATAAAACACATTGCAACTTTATAGAATTTTGCACTAAATCTTATAGACCCTATTCATACCTCATTTTTATCAATAAATGCATAAATTTATTTCTGTAATATAGGTAATTTAGTATATGCTAAATGCGCATTTGAAGATACATTTAGCGTATTATTAAATTTTTTATTATTAAAAATAAAGAATGAATATGAACTTCATAATCTTACAATATTTTAAGCGATCAATTTAAAAAAAAAATTCGAAAATACTAATTTTTAGATAAAATATAATACAATAAAAAATGTATTTAAAAATATAAATGTAAAATAAATGTAAAATTTTAATCCAATTTTGATGTCAATTTAATATTAAATGATGTTTTATTATTTGGTCATGACTTTTTTTTAAAACAATAATTTTTAACAAACTGATGACTATCAAAAGTTAACGATTTTTTTTATAAACAATAACATAAGCGCAATTATGTACGCATTAATTGATTTACTGGCAATTGCGAGCGAATCGACACGAGAAAGGAGGCTAGGCATGAGGAACAATGCGATTTATTTTGCACTTGCAAATTCACTTGCAATGCTGATTATCTGATGCTGATTATCTCGATGCGCATCGGACGTCTAGATTATCATCCTCTCACGGCACACTTTCTAAACGCAATGAATCCCGCGCTACATACCCATTTACATTTTTTCCCTCGAGATCCTTCGCGATGGATCTACTCTAGAATAGACAAACGTTGTTATGTAAACGATTGATATTTAAACCTAACATTCGCAAAGTGTTCGCCTAAATATGCCTCGTAAAATATGTCTCGTTCAACTACCAAAATTCAGAGACATGACGAAATTCGCTTATGCACACAAGAGAGAGTTTTTCAACATAAAAAATTTTAATATAAGATTTAAATACAAAATAAATATAAAGTCAAATACAAAATTATATAATTCAAAATAATTAAAAAAAAAACATAAAATCAAATACAAATACTTTATATGAAATGCAACAATTATGTACATATCTAAAAATAATTTTGTTGGATCATCAAAATAATGATGTTAAGAACGCTTAAGCATAATGATAATATTGTAAAAATTTTTTATTCTATTCTAGGAATTAATTTAAACATTTCAGTCTAAGGTCGTGGGCTCGAGCCTCGCCTGTGACGCATATCCTCCTTTCTTATTTGGGCCAGGATACATAACAGAAATATATAACGGATAAATAACAAATTTGGCTAGATATATAAATATGAATTATTAAATAACTTTAATTCATATCTATATCTGACCAAATTTGTTATTTATCTGTTATGTATTTATTGTGTATTTATTATTTATATATTTGTTATTTATTTTAGATATTCCAGCAAAACCTTTCTGTACTTAAATACATCATGTTCATTAGTAATGACGCCGAATTTAACGGTAGAAATTGATTATACATAGAAACTTATCCTTCATTTAAATTACAACCGAAGCTATTGAAATCAAGACGTGACAAGTCAATTACAACCGCTGATTAGTCCGTTTTCTGTTTATTGTCACGCCTGTCGCGTGTTTAATCTTAAATCTAATTAATTAAAAATAAAAAATGCGGAATTTCTTTTAATTAAAATAATTTCTCTGAAATTAAAATTTCAAGTTTAATTTATTAAAATCAAAATCCGGATTCAAAATATCGCGTCTGAAGTAGCTTCTGAATCACGAGTTAAAGAATCGTTATCAAGTTCAAGGTTAAGAATCGCGCGAACGCGAAGAGAAAGTTTTACATCGTATAAATATAAATCTATGTTCATTAAGTCCTTCTCTTCTTTTTCACGAAAAGGATATTGCAATATTTTCTCAAAATAGAGATCGCTAAAAAATAATACCCCCCCCCT